TTAGAGAAAAATTTTTGGAAAATTTTCTAGTGTTTGTCGTCCTTTTTCTTTGGAGAATGTCAGGGCCCCTTGGACAAGCGACTAGAGCCTGAGATCCTGTCGCGCTCCTATTGGTCACATTCATTATGCAGACACACATGTGTTTACTAGTAGTTTCATATTTATAAATTATAAGTTTCACATTCATATTTATTTTTTCATGTTTTAAAAATTATAAAATTAATATTTATAAATATGAAAATGAAAAATATATATATAAATAAAAAACGTGATGTTATAAAAATTTATTATAAAAATCATGATTTTATAGTTTTAAGAAAGTTTCTAATGTGAATTTAATAAGAAAAATAATGATTTTTATGATTTCATGAATTTGAAAGGTTTTAATGTGTGTTACAATCCTTACAAACATAGCTTACATATAAAATTTGTAGTATCAATTGTTACTGAGACAGAAAACATATGATGCCAAGAATCACACCGCACGCATTGTATCCACGCGACTGTCTGTTTCTTGTTGACCATCAGATTTGTTACACATACTACAGTGTTGTTGTAACGTCCTTTGTCAATGAAAATGAATGTTGGAAGTTTACTAAAAAGAATTACGTAATCATGTAATTGTTAGAAAGACCTGTCCAAGATTAGACTGTCAACTAAGATGTGGTTTATGCAAAATTTGTATACATGATTTTAGCTGGTCTTGCAGTGATTCGTTGTATGTAAAAACAATTTATAAACATATACATTACTTGAAAATTGAATACAATGGAAATAAGTACTGGAGAAAATAGTGGTGACTATAACTTGAAAGACAGTAATGACAAAGTAATAGTGTCACTTGAATGCGGACAGTCCACAACTGAAATTGGAAGTGAGAGATTGGAGCTGAATGATGATGCAATGCAAACTTCAAGTACCGAAACAGAAATGCAAGAAGAAATTTTCAAACAAGTTCTGGAAACCAGATCAGTTCATGAAACAGACATTAAATTAAAGGTTTTTGCTATAACACAAAATTTACTTAAAGAAATTCAAAACTGCAATGAGAGCATAATTTTGGAGTAAGTTAACAGACGAATTATCTCAGATTCTGCCAGTGTTTCAAGAAGCCCAATTAGAAAAAAATGACGGAAATACATTAAAAATAAGGAAAGTAACCTCTAATGAAAAATTTCAGCATCAAATACGATTGGACCGAAAAACGTGCTCAAATTAACCCGTTTCTTTGTAACTATGATCTAAATATGAGTAAAACACAAGATAATCTCACTCTCACCCCAACGACACCTNCGAAGCAATTTTTCCCATAGAAATTAATGCAAATGCAATTAATCCGTTCTAGTCTCCGAAATTTTTGTGATTTTATTTGCAATATACAGTAATTTTCTTTGATGAAAATGTAGGAAAACGTAGTATCTATCATTACAGCAACAAACATGTAAACTTTGTTTAATAAAATAGCACTGTACTGTACATACCTTCATTTGTTGTAGTTGGTGGCAGAAAAGTGGAGATATATGAACCTAATGCTTAGAAGGGGAATCCCCTCCAAAAAATTAATGGGTAGCACTTCATCGGAAGATCCTTCGAGTCGAATTCTCTTTCGGTAAAAGAAACCCACCAGTGGCTAAGTGGTCTTCGTACCTTGAACACGGGGAGTTCGTTTGTGGGTTCGCACCTCGCTCAGATGGGCTGGCCATGTGGAGTTTTCCGGGTTTTCTCCACGTCTGTAATGCCTAAATAGGAGCCAGTTTCCCTTAAAAACACCTCCCAGAAGGCATTCCCCCTAGGCAGATCCCCCAAGTCAACACTTGGGCGATCTGTTTGCCTAGGGGGATCTGTTTGTTAAATTATTGCGTTGCCATAACTTAACAAACAAACAAACTCTTTCCATAAGGAACAAGAAACTGATCTAAAGCTAATTGTCTTACTCTTTAAATCAAAATTTTTCTCAAATGCGATAGCGCGTTGTCGTTTTCTATTGCCACTATGACTTTTTTTTTCTTTGATGTCGTATTGATTAAATATATAAATCACAAAACTGAAAAAAAGAAGTATAGCACAAACACTCCGAAAAGCAATGCTTAACTCGTGCATGCCTAACACCAACTAAAATTTGACACAAAATACAGTTACGTTCGTTATCCGAGACAAAATTTTTGCAAAATAAAAGTTTGTTAACCGATTTGGTTGTTAACCAGGATGTTCGTTAACCGGGGTTCCACTGTATTCAATTATTTCAGAAATTTTATTATAATAAATACATTCAATTTGCAAATGTTAAAGATCATTGTTTTCATTCTTTATAATTTTTAAAGCACAAAAACATTGTATAAAATGTATTTTTAGTTGTTTTTCTTTACTAGAAATCTTATAATTTAATTTTTCTGAACATTGAACATTATAGTTTATTTTCATTTTTGTTTGTACAAAGTTTATAATATTACAAAACAATTATTCAATCATCATAGAAAGTATGATGATTATACAAAGATTATTTGAAAAATTCTCCATCTAATGATAATTCTTTATAATCTTTCTCAGAATATGAATGGAGCCAATGTTCATTAGTCTGTAAAGAATGGAACTATTTTCCTTTGCATATATAAAGTACAAGATGTTCCATGTAAGACTGACCCTGTTTGTATTAGGAAAAAAGGGATGTGATAAAATTGGATAGTCTTTAAAGCTTAGTTTTATTCATAAACCATTATGGAAACTTGCATAACCAATGCTTTGTTATATTATATTAATTAAATTATCCACAATCGTGAGGCAGATAATAGTGAGGGCTTATCAGACCAATAATGGGCACAGACACTCAGGGATCAAAGTGAAAGCAATTTGATCCCTGAGCGTTTGTGCCCATCATTGGTCTGATAAGCCCTCACTATTATCTGCCTCACGGTTGTGGATAATTTAATTAATATAATTATATCAAGGGCTAGATGCAACTTTTGCAATGCTTTGTTGTTTAAGGTGGGGTACCCTATAGAACATATATGTTTAAACTGTTAGATTATATTTTAGAATAGTGTATTTGAGATTACAAAAGAAACAAAAAAAATGTCACACAACGTCATATGACACAATGTTTAAGCTCAGGTAGCAGAGTGGTACACATTCAAGATCCAGCAAAACCAGCACACAAACTCCATTCTTATTCTGGAAAATACTATAAGATGCAAATTTCATTTTAAGTATTTTGCACTTTGATTAAATATTATATACAGGTTTTTAACCTGTATATATTTTCCTACATAACAACACAATTTAAAGAACTGCAGTTACACATGATTTTCTAATACATTTTTAATACCAAGATATAAATTATTTTTTAAAATGGCATTTAATATTTTTAATGTTCTAATTTATAATTATGCCTAAAAGTTTAATGTATCCATTTTTAAGCTAAAATTTTTACAATTACATTCATTTAATATTACAATTAAAAAATTTAGTTACACAGCATATATATTTAATACATTTAGATTACAATGATAAACATAAAAAAAACTTCATTTTCAGTATTAAATGAGAAAGGATACTTCTATTTAGCTATTTGCATTAGTTAGAAATATAATTGCTAATTAATATGTTACAACATTGCTATAGCATTAACTTATATTCAAATTGAACTAATTTCACCCAAAACAGTAGAATTTAGAGAGAACTTTTCTAAAATTTATGTCAAATGAAATCTTTTATTGTAGAGGCCAGTTTACTGTGATATGTTCCCATCTCTCGAGATATTTTTACTGAAAGATCTGTCTTCTTTTATCATAAGGACTCTAGTTTATTGATAACTGTTTTTTATTGTCTCTTGCAGTTGATCATTACCTGAAAATGTGTATAAATATAAAAGTTCAAGAATTATTTGTAAAGTAGACCACCACCTGTAAAGTGTTAAATATAGATGACTTCAAATATATCTAATTTTTAAAATGCTTTAACAGGTAGTTTTAAATCTTTTTCTGTATTATAAATATCAAATAGCTACTGCTAAATGCTATTATTTTTGGTATATATTAAAATTCAAAATTAAATGTCATGTTCTTAATTGAAAAATGTAATTATTTTTTCAGTGTAAAAATAAATCACCATCTTAGAATCAGGTTCAGTAGATGCATGCATACTGGGAATGTGAATAAAATTTTAATACAAAAATTGCCTTGAAATGACATTGAATAGAAATGTTTCATTAACCCTTGTGAGGTTGTATAAAGTTTTATGAAAATTCATTGCAGTATTGTCATTTTCAAATTAATATAAATACAATGTTAAAAAATTTATTTACTACATTAAGTCCACGTTTAAAAATAATAATTCAGAGATTTATGTTCCTGTTATGTGTACTACTACAACAGATATTTTTTTTCTTTGTGCAGACGTTCTTAGGATTTCAAAGTTGGAATGTTTAAATTATATCTTCAAATCTAAATAAGAAGGACAATGTTTAGTAGTAGTTTTTATATACAGTATTTGTAATATATTTGTGAACAAGTCCATTATTAACATATATATACAGAAATTCTTTACAGTCAAATTCTTAGCTATCTACTCTAACTTTTAGAAACAAATCAAAATTCAGAAAAATTTGTTAAAATTGAATTATGAATCCTCTTCCTTTACATACTCTTCATCTAATTTGCTTTTATCATCAATCAAGATTCTGTTTTCTTTCTATATTTCTCTTAATCTACTTTTTCTAAATAATGCAACATTATGTAAACTCTCTTAATCTGAAAATCAATAGATATATAGTTATTTGACAATACAAATACTACTATAATTCATTTATCTCATATAAAATAACAAACTTTAAGTGGTAAATTAAATCAAAAACATTATAACAAATGAAATAAAACTGTTTAGTGGTCAGAATGACTGCAAATATTACTTTATAGGAGCATAAGTCAAATACTATAGCCAGCAGGTAAAATGAGCAACATTTGATTCTTAAATAATTCAATAGCAAACAAATTTATACAGTAAATATATTCTTTATTTGAAGAATTGCAACTAGACAAATCTTGTCTAAAATGGATACAATGTAGCAAAAGTAAAAAATGCTATTTTGATTAGCAGATGACCTCACAAGGGTTAAATATTTTAATCAAATTATTGAACATCCGTATGATTTATAAAAAGATACAATAAAATAAAATAATTATGATGAATAAAGTCTTTTTGCAGAAAACTGAAGATTTTATTTTGAATAAATTCTACAACTTTTATTTTGAATACTAGTTTGATATTTACAACTCAAAATTTTATATCCAGTGCAATACTAGTTAAATGATATATAAACAGTGCAATGGTGACAATTACTGAAATTGTGTCAACTGTTGGACAAGAGCTAAATCTTTCATCAGTTTTCGGACAGAATTTAATAATTTTGGCATTTGTTTATCCACATCAATATGAGAACTTCCCATTTCTGTTTCAAGCATCTGCAGATGATCTTCTATAGCATTTAGTTGTTGTTCAATATTATGTTGCATGTATATGATATGATCAAGCAAATTTTTTTTACAATGTATAGGATCTGGAAGTATATTAAATTTTTCTTCTTTTTTATTAAAACTTTTTATATTAATTTTTTCTCTATCATTTGATATAGACCTCCCATTTAATTTTTGCTGTTCAATAGTGTGACTAGTTTCTCCTACTTTAACAATATTTTGTTCAGGTTTTTTCTTATTTTCAACAAACCAATCTTTCTCCTCACTTTTCCAATGATCATTCAATTTATTTGCTGCATTTGCTGTCTCTAAATCTTGTTTCAGTGAGGAATAAGAATGATCAAAATCTGCCACTCTTGTTATCTGCATATGATTTAAGTCTGCATCCTCAGAGAAAAGAGACTGAGATGATTCCAACCATGGTGTTTTCCACAGATTTAAATCTGGATGATTTTCTTCTTTGGCAATTTTTAATTTGCATTGTAAACTATGAATGACAAATAATATGTTGTGTAATGATGATACGAGTTCATGAATGACTAATGATGTTTGTGTATCTGTATTGGATATGATTTTATTTGATAGAAAACCAAATGTTGTTAACTCTCCTTTTTTGAACCAGTCTTGATCATGTTTATATCGAAAACTTTCACGTAGTCCTTTTGGTTTCAGGCATGCATAACATACATACTTATCAGGAACATCTTTTACATCGTCAATTTCAAAACAAGCCCCGTGTTGCCAGGTCAAACAAACTTCACATTGCATCATCAATCCATTTTCTTCAATACAATTACACACACAATGGACAATTTCATCACTTTGTCCTTCTTCTGTTTCTTCCTCTTGTATTAAATGCTTTGAATCTGGAGTAGCCTTAATATCAAACTCGCTAGATTTCTCGGAATTAAATTTATCTTCTGACTTAGTAATCTCTGGTATTTCATTTATGGTTTTTATGTCATTTCCACTATCATTCACAGGTGTATTTTCAATTATATTACCCTCAGGAAGTGGAAGAGAAAGAGTTCGTCTCTTTTTTGAACGACCAGTGTGAGGTTTCTCTGGCGGTGGTGAAGTCAAAGGTTTTTCTTCTATTTTAATTGTAACTGACTCATCTATTTTCTTCTCTTGCTCAATTTTTAGAACATTAATTTCTTCTGGCTTTTTAACCTCTTGAATATATTCCGAGTTTTCTGGAATTTTTTCATCTTTTTCTATTTTTATCGGTTTATTTTCTACTTTAGTTTTTCCTTTCTCTGTTTTAGAAGACTTATTTTCTGACTTACTAGGTTTATTTTTATCTATTTTGGTAGATTTGTTTTCAGTCTTTACAGGTTTGTTTTCAGTTTTAATAGGCTTGTCTTCAGAGACTTTATCTTCAGTATTAGATTGTTTATAATTTGTGACCTCTGCTTTAACAGCTTTGGATCCTTTTGTTTTTGTATTCTCTTGATTACAATTAGATTTATTTTCATCTTTAGGAACTTTGAGACTTGGAGTTTGCAGTTCTTTAGCAGAACTCTTAGTTGATTCTTGTTTTTTAGGAGTCTGGAGCTTTTCATCTTTTTCTTCTTCTATTAATTTTTCATTAATTTGTACAGGAACAATTTCCTTGATGGAAATTTCCTTTGTTTCTTCTATAGATGAATTATTAGAGGATGTATTATGTTTTTCTTTAACTTTTGTATCTGAATTGTTATGATAATGTTTCATATGGGACTGCAATAATTTGTCTTTTCTAAAACTTTTATTACAGCCTGGCACTTTACATTTAAAATGATTATGATCTTCTTCAATAATAAATTCTTTCCTTGCAATTTTCCTTCCATCTATATATCCTACAGGTGCAGCAACCTCATCCAATACTTCTGAATTTGGCTTTACTGTTTCCTCTTCGGGTACCATAGATTGCTTTCTTCCTTTAGTTTTATGCGGAGTGATAGGTCGCTTTTCTTCTTCTAATTTAATCCGTTTAGCTTGGAATATTCCTCCCACAATTAATTTCTTCCTTTTGCCCAGAATCCATTTCAAATCTTTTTCAATAAGTTTGTTACTTTTCAGACCTTTTTTCATCCTTTTAGGCGATTTCCCAAATTCCTTAGTTGATATAGTTTTCTTTTCACTTTTTTCTTCTTTTGGAATCGTTGGAATATCTACTTTACCCACCATTTCCTTGGGAAGTTTTTCAATATTTAGTGGCTGCAGAGCACGTCTAAATCCATCATAAAACAGTACATCATATAATCCATCTTTGTTCAATTGGAGTATTCTTGCAGGGTACATTTTGCAGTCCGTCCAGCGTGCTAAAACTTCTTCTCCCACTTTATATTGTAATAAAGATTTATTTACCTTAACCTTTTCTTTCTGTTCGTTTCGAGTCGAAGGATGAGTAAGAGCACGTATTCTCGGACTATCCATTGGCATCCATTCGTCAAATCTCGCACTCCATCTTTCAAAATGAATGAGGATTTCCGCTTCCTCTTCATCAACGGCAACAATCTTAGACGTGTACCATTTATCGAGATAATCCTTCGCTTCCAGACGAGCACCGACTTGAAAAGTTATGCCCGGTCTATTAGGAATCCTCTTCTTTTTCATCCCAGGTTGCTCATCATCGTGATTACCCGAAGCCTCTCGCTTGCGCATGTCACGCTTCTTTTTTAATAATTTAGCAATATCTCTGTTAGTTAATTTATGTCTTGGACCCATTAATTCTCTCTGTCTAGATCTTCTTTTACCTCTTCTTATTGTTTTGGATACATTAAGTGATTTAGTTTCATTTCCAGTAAATTTTGTATCACTACTTTCATTATCTTTACTTTTACAACTTGCTTCTTTCCTATCATTTTCAATTGATTGTTCAGGTGTATGTGTATTATCCTCCTTTCTATTTTTGCTATTTTCCTCGTCAGTCGACTTTTCACTTTTCATGTCCTTTTCTTCCTTGGTGTGTTTCCTTATTTCGCTGCTACACGTTTCATTTCCCTGATTTTCTAGCAAATCACTCGATGACGACATCGCGTTCTTGCATTTGTTCTCATTCTCCTTCATAATACACTTTAAAAAATGAATTGATATACCTGTGAAATGAAGACATTCGGGTTCATCTTTTATCACATTAGCTATATCGTCATGTTCGAAGCATAGGAAATGGCGCAAGATCTTAAAAATCCCTAAAACATTTCCCGAAAATCCCTACATAAGTAAAACGCTTAAACATTTATTCCAAATGTTAGAATTTGCAAGAAATATCTAAGCCGAATTTAAAGTTTATCGTTACAATAATATATTCCATTAAGACATCGATATATAGTTTCAGAAAGAAAATCAATTACGTCGAAGGAAATGAGAGAAACGCCATTAGAGGGAAATTCCCTCTAGTGATAAACAAACGGGAATTTCTACCGTAATGTGATGATGACGTATGAAACAAAATTCCGAAAGGGAGATTTCTATTGGTCGAAACTAAACAAAGTGCGTATCAAATAACCAATAAACATTTAATTTTATATCGATAAATGTCTTCAAAATTAAAATTTCGTTTTTTCATTTATAAATTTTCAAAATTCGCAAAAAATTAAACGAATGACTTCAATTCCAATTTCCTTCAATAACTTCTCACACTGTATTCATGCGCCAGCGCGTATTGATACAAAACGCGTACAGCTATCGCAAAATATAGTTCCGTTATAAATGCTCGATTAGAACAACATTTTCATAACATTCGATAACTTAACAACGTTTTATAGAAGAAAAATACAGAGAATTTAACTTTTACCTTTCGCTTTATCGACATTAAACTCGGACAAGTTTCCATTCGATACGGCTGCCATCTTGAACTCGGATTTCTTACACGATGCCCTCTGCCGTCAAAATGTCATGTTTTTGAATTAGATATTATTTTAAATTATTTATTAAATATTTAATAAAATACAAAATACTTTCATTAATTTCTTAATATTTCAACCAGATCAATATACATCTGAATAATTTTTTTTCGAGCATAAAAATTAAAAATTGAATACCCGATAGAAAACCCTATATTTTTCTATAGTTTTCACAAACGAATACCAACGAAGAGTCCTTTAGATTTAAAAGTTATTTACTCTCATTAAAATGATTAGAATGTGCTACAGTTTTCGTGTTAATTTAAAAGTATTAAAAATACGGTTTGCATTATTCTGATGGTAATTTTCGCAGTAATAATTAGTATTGAATATCAAATTTATTCTACAAAAGCACGTTATATAAGATTTTTAAATATCGGATAAAAATCCATGTTTGAGTTTATCATTCTACTAGCAGACGAGCCCGGCGTTCGGGCAAAAAATAACAATAAAGATTAAGATTATTAGATTATTTCGTAAACCCTTATAGATTTATATTTACCAACGTTATCTTACGTAAGGGTTATCACACCGAGTGCCCAATCTAACACATTTTAAAAATTCTTTATTCCTCTACACAATTTAAAGAATTTCTAAAACGTGTTAGATTGGGCACTCGGTGTGATAACCTTTATAGTTATATAGCCGACTTACCCGTTTTTGCCGGATGCAAGAATTAGGTCCCTCTTCTTCCGAGGGTAATTGGAGAATTTTAGATGGGTCTGAAAATATGTTCGATTTCCCGCAAAAAACCGCATCTAAAATAGTACAATAGAAGCAGAGTTCTTCAGGGTCATCCTTAAGGATTACGCTGAAGAACTCTTTTTCTACTGTACTATTTTAGATGTGGTATTTTGCCCTGTATGGTTAAATATAATAATGAAAAATTAACTAGGCTATTTTTCTCCATCTTAAAAAGAAAAATTTTGTTACCAATAAAAATATTTTATTTTCTCTCTTTCCCAATTATAACAGTAAAAATTGGAAAACTGAAAAAAAAATGTAACGTCCATCACAAAAACTTTAAAAAATAAACCGAAAGTATACAATTTTTTAAGTGAAATTTGGTTAAAATTTAAATAAATAAAGTTTACAAAGGAATAGTTTACAAAATCTAATTTTGTAAACTTTGAAATTGATTGTTAAAATTTTGAAAGGGTTACACAAAGAGACACAATCTATCGGCTACTATTGAAATTTTTCGACAGTAAAAATTTTCACGAAAATTAGTTTTAATTAATACGGTTATATGCAATATCGGATCGGAGAAAAATTAATCTATCTTACTTCTCATACTGTCCACGATCTTCAAAAATCATTTGAAATTGCGGAGATGTAATTAAGTGAAGTTTTTGTTAACTTTATCCAAAAAAATAAAATTAAAAAATTAAGAAATAAACTACTTTTACAATAACTATTCGTCTTGGTCAACAATTTATCAATGCTTCGAAAAAATCGGCGTTTCCATCAAAATTTGTCAAGTGTATCGAAGAAGACTGGGCGATTTCAGCAATCCAAATAAAAATAAGCAGTCAATTTAGATGATAGTCAAATTTCTTAGGAGTTTTCCTTTGGTAAAAATAAGCATGACGCTTCGAAGCGGTACGCAGATTATTGTTTTCTGTTTCGCTTCGAAACGCCAAGCTTATCTTTACCAAAGAAAAATTCCTGAGAAGTTTGACTGTCATCTAAATTGCCATAATTTTCCACTCGGTGCAATTTTTTACTTCTCGCATGTTGTTGTTTGGATAGCAATTGTGTTTTGGTTATTGCATGAAGTTCTGTACAATAATAAAATGGCGTCGTAAAAACAATGCTGTAACGAAACGATGACATTACCTGTGTTAAGTTATGTTTCCTTATGACCATAAATGCATCGTTTATGTTTATGAATTAATGTAACTCATATTGTATTATTACATCAAGATCTAAGACGATTACGAATTTCTGTGCTACCCGTTTTCTCTAGAGCCTGTATATATAACAAGAGTGACAAATGCCACTTTGGCAGCCATGTTTTAACCAAACAGTCGAACGTGCTTCAGCATAGGCGCTATATTTATACAATTAGCTAATCATATTGCATAAAAAAGTTTTTATAATATACCTGCTTTTGCAGAACAATTTGCAATGGTGTTTTGCGGAACTTCATTTCAATCTTTATTAATCAGCAAGTAGCAAGTTCACGGAAACGAAAAATATTACAGTTAGGAATGTCAATTTCTCACGAAGAAAAGAAGTTAAAAAACAACTTAATTAAAATCGTCACTTAAACAAAACTTGTATTAGCCTAAATATATTTTCAGGGTCGTGATTTAAATATCCATATGTTTTTCATTTGTGAAAGATAATACTGAGGAACGTAAAATTGCGGTCATAAATTCGACTACAAGCGAGAATGAAACAACACCTGTGAAGAAAGTACAGAAGAGACCACACCAACAGAAATGAATACACGCACTCATCTTATTTTCCGACTTTTTAAAAAATAAATTCAGAACAGTTAACAATGTTATCTGAACGCATCGTTAGAAAATGTCCAGGGGGAGGATCTAGTGGATTAAGAAACAAAGCGTTATGTATATTACAAAATAACGTGTCGTATCTTCAAGAAAACCTTCAATTGCCTTCAACACATCTCATTGCATCCTCCTCGGTCTTATCAACACGCAGGCTGAGTTTCCGCATTTGTACGACGTTGCTGGGATCAGGCGCAAAGTTTTAGCAACACGAAAATACTCGGAAACATATCTGGATCGCGTGTTTTCGCCGATTCGTTCGATATGAGCGGCAACTCCTCGTCTGCATTTTTACAGATCCGATTCTTACATCGAAATATCTCGCCTTGGAGAAGCTCGGGTCCTCGCAATAGAGTCAATAAGATCTCTCCGGAATGAAATCACATATTTTTAAAAATTCGTTAAAAATTTAATTTTTATCAAATATATTTGAAAATAGCGTATTAATACATTATTAGCAATATATCTTAATATATTATAATTATATTACTGTAAAAAGTTTTAATATAGGCCTATACATGTATATTGGGAACCCAAATTTATTTTCGAATAGACCTAGCTTTGGTCATTATTCGTCGCGTTATTAATCGACATTTCAAACAATAAAAACAAAATTCAATCATAAAACATACTACATTTTTTATAGTATAGCCATCAACCGGAGCCAGGCTTTGTGAAGTACAGTTGAATCCGGTTATTATAATCACGAATAATGTTATCAATCGGCCCAAAACACTATATAAAATTAGTTAAAATTAATTCGCCTATTATAATAAAACTTCAGCTATTGTTATCAATTGTGGTAATTACACTTGAGGCAAATGGTAATTCTTACAAAATTCGGTAATTATATAGTTTCTTACCATTACGCATTTTCTTTTAATTTGTTATTTAAAAAGACACATATTTGAGACATTTCCAAAACCCATTATTTGGCGCCGAACCATATAAAAAGCTCTATAAACAAACAAACAAATCGTAGGACTACTTCCGAATCTGCTCGTTTGGGTCGCCATTGTTTAAGCTTGTTTTCGTCGTGGAACAGCACGGTGAACGTGTATAAAATGTGTCACATGGCTTTAATGTCACTCGGTCACATGACTACCTAAACCCCAGGATTTTTTCTTGGATAGCTTATCCCGGTTGTATCTGTTCCTGTCCGTGAGTTTTCGGTATCCCTATCTTCCTACAGTGGTATTATTGTATTTCCAAAATAGCCGGGCAAAAGAAAGATTTTTACGTTATAACGATTTTCACGAGAATTTTAGAAAGGCCATCTGTAAAAGCATATTGTGTTCATACCGGCGCTGTTTACATTATTAAAGTCGGAGTATCGGCACCGTATTGTCTGGAGTAACGTAACGTGCGCAATCGCAAACGCACAAAATCAGTCGTGGCAAGTCCTTCGAGAGTGACTGTAATGGATTTGGAAAACTCAGGTATTTACGTACCCATTATATAATTTTTAATTAGTTATACGTTGTTTATATGCACTTCGTATAGAAATGTCTCGGATACACAACATAAAAAACAGAAAGTTTCATAAATGTTCTTATCAAGTCCCAAACCTGATCTTTGACTTTGGCGAGGATAATGGCGACCGTCGTTCGAACATCTGTTTTCTCTGTAAACATAAAGTTCCGGAAAGTGATTTGTTGTTTTGTTCTAGATGTTATAAATTCGCACATTTTTATTGTTTTGGGGTTCGCGCATTTTTATTGAATGGGCTGTTAATTTCCATAAGTTCGGTAAATCGTACAAGGGTACCCGGAAATGCGACAACTGTAAGTCGTTCAAAGCTATTAAGAATAATGAAAATACGATAATTAACTCGGAAGAAGATACAGGACTAGGTGAGTGTGCTCAAATTAACCCGTTTCTTTGTAACTATGATCTAAATATGAGTAAAACACAAGATAATCTCACTCTCACCCCAACGACACCTCTGCGTATTGACACAATTTCGAAAAGCTTCTGAACGAAATGAAATTAATACATTTGGAATTAGGAAATATTAATAAAAGAACTGGTGATCTACAAAAATCGATAGAGTTCTTACTTAACAAGTTTGATAGAATGGAGGAAAGAATCAGCACTTTGGAAAAGAGTTATATCATACTCAGTGAGACAATTTCTGATTTAAAGCAAGAAAATGGTCATATAAGACTTGAATTAAAATCTTCGCAGGAACAATTGCATATGTTAGAGCAAAGTTTAAACAACTCAAGCTTAGAAACTGTAGGCAAGACGATTCTTCAAAATGAAAATTTGATTGAGATTACGCATTAAAAGCTTTAATCAATCTCATATTTTAAATGAATATAGAATTAAACCTAACACGAATAAAAAAAAAATCTATAGTGAAGTGTATCAGCCCCGTTATAAAACAGAGAATTATAAATACTATTAAACAGAAAAATCTTAAAATAACGACAAATGCATGTGGATAAATGAACAATGTAGGATATACATTAATGAACATTTCACAATGGTAATATTTTTTTGAGGAAGAATCTTACTTCTCTCTCAGTTCGAGTCTCAACATTGGAATGTGTAGATAGCCTTTTTCAGAATGGACGAATTATTGATACACAGAAAAATAGTTGACTTCTCTAGAAGGGCTCTTTTTGAGCTGTATTATAATGCTAGAGGCTTGAATAATAAATATTTAGACATAATTAATATAGCCGGTGAATATTACTGAAACTTTGATATAGGCTATTTGTAAATATATATGATAAGATATGCAAATTAGTTTTAAAATGTCACGTGAATTTCTATTGTAATAATAGCTGCTGTGAAACGAAATTAGTAATCAAATAATTTTGCTTTATTAATTTTATAAATGTCAAATTTCTTTATTTTTGTATATTTTGATAGAAAATAAGGTAAGTTTACAGTTACAATTATGGTTATTTGTATTAAATACTAGATAAAAAAAAAACTACAGCTACAGATAAAAAATTTTTATCCATCAAAGATATCACGAATTGGTTTCTGGTGATCAATGAAGCATTTAGGATTTAATTTTGGGGGAGACGAGTTGAACAGATAAAAAAAATTTAATGCGAATTCAATAAGATACCCAACTTATGTGACCGCTAATTCATAAGTAATGCAGAAATAGAAGACACGACACAATATAAATAAAAAAATGAATTTTAGTTAGAGAAAAATTTTTGGAAAATTTTCTAGTGTTTGTCGTCCTTTTTCTTTGGAGAATGTCAGGGCCCCTTGGACAAGCGACTAGAGCCTGAGATCCTGTCGCGCTCCTATTGGTCACATTCATTATGCAGACACACATGTGTTTACTAGTAGTTTCATATTTATAAATTATAAGTTTCACATTCATATTTATTTTTTCATGTTTTAAAAATTATAAAATTAATATTTATAAATATGAAAATGAAAAAAATTATATAAATAAAAAAGTGATGTTATAAAAAATTATTATAAAAAAATCATGATTTTATATTTTGAAGAAAGTTTCTAATGTGCTTAATGTGAATTTAATAGGAAAAATAATGATTTTTGATGATTTCATGAATTTGAAAGGTTTTAATGTGTGTTACAATCCTTACAAACATAGCTTACATATAAAATCTGTAGTATCAATTGTTACTAAGACACAAAACATATGATGCCAAGAATCACACTTCACGCATTGTATCCATTGAGACTGTGTCTGTTTCTTGTTGGTCATCAGATTTGTTACACGTACTACAGTGTTGTTGTAATTCTCTTAGTTACCTTTGAATTCTTTTTATTTCATTTGGGGAAATGTGTAAATGTGTTTGTTTTTGCCTGCTTTTTCAGTCCAATTGTATTTGATACTGAAATTTTTCATTAGAGGTTACTTTCCTTATTTTTAATGTATTTTCGTCATTTTTTCTAATTGGTCTTCTTGAAACACTGGCAGAATTTGAGATAATTTGTCTGTTAACTTAGTTAGCAGCCTAGTTAATAGGCCATCTTATACCCTGTTTGATCTTATTACAAAATTATGTTCTCATTGCAGTTTTGAATTTCTTTAAGTAAATTTTGTATTGTAGCAAAAACCTTTCATTTAATGTCTGTTTCATGAATTGATCTGGCTTCCAGAACTTGTTTGAAAATTTCTTTTTGCATTTCTGTTTCAGTACTTGAAGTTTGCATTGCATCATCATTCAGCTTCAATCTCTCACTTCCAATTTCAGTTGTTGACTGTCCGCATTCAAGTGATACTATTACTTTGTCATTACTGCCTTCAAAGTTATAGTCACCACTATTTTCTCCAGTACTTATTTCCATTGTATTCAATTTTCAAGTAGTGTATATGTTTACAAATTGTTTTTACACACAACAAATCACTACAAGACCAGCTAAAATCATGTATACAAACTTTGCATAAACACATCTTAGTTGACAGTCTAATCTTGGACAGGTCTTTCTAACAATTACATAATTCTTTTTAATAAACTTCGAACACTCATTTTCATTGACAAAGGACATTACAACAACACTGTAGTACATGTAACAAATCTGATGACCAACAAGAAACAGACACAGTCTCAATGGATACAATGCGTGCAGTGTGTTTCTTGGCATCATATGTTTTGTGTCTCAGTAACAATTGATACTACAAATTTTATATGTAAGCTATGTTTGTAAGGATTGTAACACACATTAAAACCTTTCAAATTCATGAAATCATCAAAAATCATTATTTTTCCTATTAAATACACATTAAGCACATTAGAAACTTTCTTAAAAATATAAAATCATGATTTTTTTATAATAATTTTTTATAACATCCCTTTTTTATTTATATAATTTTTTTCATTTTCATATTTATAAATATTAATTTTATAATTTTTAAAACATGAAAAAATAAATATGAATGTGAAACTTATAATTTATAAATATGAAACTACTAGTAAACACATGTGTGTCTGCATAATGAATGTGACCAATAGGAGCGCAACAGGATCTCAGGCTCTAGTCGCTTGTGCCCCTTGGCCCCTTCTAGGTGCTTCACTGCTGGTGATAATGATAAGCGGAAAACATCTGCCATGCTCAGAAACCGGTTAATGATGCATGATCCCGATAAATTCTGTGGAGAAATGAAACTCATTTTCTTTTGCATGGTGATATATGAACACTCGCGACTTTTGCAAGTGATCTGACGAAAATCCACATATAATAATTTTTTAATAGGTAGGGTGATCAGACCCCCGATTTAGGGGACTGTCCCCGGTTTTACCCGTTTTTAATATTTGATTGTAGAACCAATCTTTGAATAGCGCAATTTTATTAACACACCAATATACTGTAATATCATTAGGGTTTCCATAATTGTCAAGCATTGATACGAGACATTTATTTAAGTGCTAAATAAATAAAACATGAAAAAAGTGGGTAGGTAATAGTTTATTTTACTCTGATAAAAAAATCAATAAAGTTTAAGCAATCTAATAAAATGAATACGTAAAATAATAAAAAAAGATGTAAGGTTAATCCTTTTTACCCCAGTCATATTTTTAAGTTAATTTTACTTTCTTAGTTATATCATTTTCTTCTTTCACATAATTATAAAATTGGGCGCAAGTCATTCTTAAATTATAATGACAAGTCAAACTTTCTTCAATTGTCTCCACTGACAACCTATTTCTTTCGTCTGACCATTGAGTTGACATTAGGGAAAATATTCGCTCCACATTTGCATTGTGGGCTGGAATGGCAAATACGTATTCGCATAGCTTTATTAGACATGACATCTGATCAATGCTTTGTATCTGCAAAAACTTCAGCCATTTCTCTTTCATACTCAATTTCATAGTTGCTTCGTAGTTTTGGTTAGTATTATTTTTCTCTAAATAATCTTTTAGATGTACAAACTGGCTGAATAGAATCTCAGTGTTGCCAATATCGATGTTTCTTGTAAATATGCAATAGTACGTTCTATTTCTTCCCATTCAGGAGCTTGGTTGAGAAAACGGGACAAACAGTAATATAGGACTGAGTAGTGAAATACGGTGACAGTCCCGTATATACGGGATGTATGGCAACCCTAAATATCACCCGTTTATAGATCAATAAATAAATAAATTTTAAAAAATAACCAAAATTCAATTACTGTAGACCTCAATTTTACTGATTCTGAAATGTGTCCACGATTGGATTGTAAATGTTATGGTTAGTCTATAATAGGCTGACTGATTCGCCTTTCTTCTAGATTTATCAAACCGATCTTGTAAAGTGACGACAGCTTTACTCCATAAAATAACCTTTATTTTCGATACAATGCAATAACCTGTGCATTTCGGGTGCAGCATTTGCACTCTAACAAGTAAGACTGAAAATCCACGTTTACCTGTTCACCAACAAATTCCATTCCACTCACTAAAGGTAACGATGATGTGTGGTTTCACAGCATTCTTTATCAGTGGTCCTTTTTTTA